TCCGATCCGGAATATAGATCATGGAGCAATAAAGAGTCTTCGGACACGGGCGCAACCACTTGGTTAAACCCTCTAACACACTAGGATTATAATAATACTTAGACCCGTCTATCGAAACCGCGATCTTACACCAACAATAGGATCTTGAGATCCATCAATGGTGGGTAGAAGCAGACATCAGCCTCATATTCGAATGGACATGCAGCGCATATCTTGTCTGCTTGGACAATCTTTTTTCTCGGCGCTCCTCTCCTGCTGGGTAAGGCGGCTTTATCGTAAAACTGCGGGTTGGGTTACACTACATATGCTGTTCATCATGAAAGAGAGAATGACATATCTCGATATTTTGGCTTGCTAAAAACCAACCTAAGCGGTAGTAGTAGTAGTAGTAGTAGTAGTGGTGGTGGTGGTGGTAGTGGTGGCTAATTTTGAGACAATAGATGGAACTGATTCCGATTCGTGCTTCCCCAGAAGCAACCATCGTGCCTGGACTAGACGCTTGGCTTTCAGGCAGGTATCCTACCATGCCCATGGATATAGACTCAACTTTCAAGATAGGTAGTCATCCACGAGCCCGGGCTGATACGCTCAGATGCAGGAAGAATGCAACGCAATATTTGTACGTATTGCACACATATAACCTTGCCATAGTTTGACAGATGCATCTCGACTACTCCACCAAGCAATATAGGAGCGGCGATGGGTTTAATCTATCGAGACACAATAGTTGTATTCGCCATTCCTTAGCCAATGAATTATGCATTCTGCGGGGATTATCTCATTCGTCAAAACGGTAAAATCAAACCCCCTCCCCCCCTCCCCCCAGCCTCATGCATGGCGCCATAGAGCAACATGATGGTGGTTTACCCTATTATATTTCGCTCTGAAGGCACACACACACACGCACATACGTACACGTCTCGTGGTGGGTCTTGAAACGAGTAAGGAGATTTCCGATGGGATTATTTTGCGAGTTTACATGCTTACCCTGTTACTCTCGTGAATAACTTGGAATAAGGTAATACGTATCGTGAGTTGATACCATGATTGGGGTATTGAAAAAAGAGCCGTTCTAGTGGTCTGGCTATGTGCTTGCTGACCGCAGAATAATTCCTGATGAAGCCAAGGCGGGAAAAAAAAAAGAAAAAAGAAAAAAAAATACCATCCCATGACACGCAAACGGTGAATGCATCAAGCCCCGATGAGCAACCAGCTTGTCGGAGCAGTCTATCGCCGAACTGCGCTAACCACATAGAGCTTGGCGGAAAACGGCGTTTGATTCTGAAGATACAGGGTGTGCCTTGTTTGAGATCTTACAGTAGGTAGGGTTTGACTTTACGTGCTTACACTTACACACGTCCCAAGCTTCTCCCGGCAAGACAGCCTGTTGGTCCAAGAGATTATCTACGAATAACATCGGTTTTTGATTTGGTTTTTTGAGAGGAACTCGGTAGATTGTTAAAGAAACGACTTGTCGATTTTTCATTAGTAGTACCTATGAAGTGTTGACATTAAATCATATCTATTAATCGTCATTAATACACCACCCGGCATAACCCCCACGATGTTTCACTGTTAAATGGCACCTTCTGAGACCCAAGGTGTCTAGAATTATTCCAGATCGACATCTTGTCCAGGGTAGTTTGAGTCGAGGCTAGCTAAAAGAAATTCAGTACTACATAACTTATCATCCGGGATCCTACTGACCAGCAAACAGCCTCACTATGATGATGAACTTACGTTATACCCTAGGTAATCCCATGATCTCGGATCGAATAGTTAATCATAAGAAACGGCCTTGTTTGCTCAAACAGGGGATTGAAGCACCGTTGAATATAATACCATACTCTCGGGAGAAGGCTAACGGCTCCGCATGGGATCGTCGCTTCAAATATGGAAAGTTGTGAGGGCTCTGTGCACACCCTTGTCCTTGCTTTGACCCCATGTTCGGTACAGATACCTGCTTACCTTATGTACATACTAACGAATACTCAGCCTAGTCCGTTCGAGAATCAAGTCCTATTAGATTCGAGGCGTGATATAGCAAAGATAAAGTATCCTGGCGCAGCGATCACGTATCGACCATGCAACACCATAGGATAGGTCATCATTCCCAGCAACGCGAGGCGCTCTGTACACGTGTACCTAATGCTTGTCGCCTGCTACCGTGGAGTGCATTGCCAACCTGTAAGCACAGATCGGACGCATGGGCTTTGCCGCAAGGCGATATGGGAAACTCACAGACCAGCCAAGACCTATTGTCTTTCGATTGGAATTGGCGGTGACCCGCGTGCTGTTCAGGTCACATGCTACGTGCTTACGCTTTGCATGCGTATTCGAACGGGTCTTGCTCCAAGCGAGATTGAGATATTTGGTACGGTGCTTTTCAGGAAGGGAATAAATATCTCATATACACAACGACCCTCCCGTATACTTTTATAAATTACCTATCAAGGCAATTATTAATAAAGTGTAGGACCTACAGGTTAACAAAACAAGAAGGCGGTGCCAAGCACTTCTGGGTTTATTATATAGTTACTCCGGATCACAAGGGTTCTTAGATCGTATTCAGAATAAAACCCTTGCAAACTCTACCAAGCCAAACTGAGGGTATTTCGGACCTTTCACCTTGGCCTTGAGGAGCTATGCTCGTTATTCTCAGCTCCACCTCTTCGGTAATTCGGGGAGCAGGCGGCCCCGAATCCAACGTCTGGCATTTTCTATACCCCGTGGCCCAGCTCCAGTTTTACCGAGAGAGCCGGTTAGATATTCCACTTAAATTGCTCGGTCTTAAATCGAGGCCAGGAGGTAACTAACTTACCCAGGTTTCCTAAGTAAACTTGACGGCCGCTTTGCATTTGTAATTTTTGGTTAAATTGTATAACAAATACCAGGTATATACATGGTAAAGAATATTCAAGTTGCTTTTATTTTTATTTTTTACTATTATTTTTATTATTATAAAACGTGATGTTCAGCTGCCCGATTCCTGTCAGATTAATCAGACTAGAAAACTTGTAGTGAACAGTCCATCCGAATGGCTAAATTGTATGGTCTGCGATTGGATAAATCCAGCAAATTCATATGAATACGGCAATCCAATCTACGGACTTTTGGCTTGTCCAAAAGCACCTAAACTTTACAATTACGAAAGACGATCGGGTCTTGCACCGATATCAAGTCAGCAAGTGCAACAAGACGAAATAATCAAGCTTCGCGAGCTAATCATGAGGACTGTATCAGGAGCATACCAGGATATCGCCGCAAGATCAGACGACTCATCTCGAGATACATATCACAAGCTTGAAAAGCTCGCATGTGTTAAGTTATAACATTTATGACATTACAAGATACCTACCTACCTTTTAGTCATATAGTCAATATGCCTAAGAACTCAACGGTGATCCGCTTTTCTGTACCCACCCGAACCACGCATTTATTTTCCGACGATGGGGATGACGATCGCAGAGATCATTAACCTACCTAGGTAATAACGTTGCTGATAATCAGCAGGACCCTGCCAAGGATGGAGATCACTCCGTCAGGTCTACTATTCGAATGAATCTAAGGTGCCAAGCAAACGCATATGTCGATCAGGGCTCCGATTGTTGACATTTCGATATCATTAACCTAGGGACCAACAACTCATATTAGATATAAGTAATACCATCGACTTATAATCTAATCAAACATAGAAAAATGATTAGTCGGCTTATGATTCACCTCGACGAACAGACAGCGTTAAGCATAACTTGGGACATGACTAAAATCGAGACCGACGAGGGTTGACTTTGGAAGTAATATATACTTCCTCAATTCTCGCTATGACACTATTATAATTACCCGTGTGGTGAAAAGCACAACATAACTTTACTCTTAAATTAAAGTAGCTAGTTGATATCTCAACAAGAAAGCTTTTGTCGCTTTTGTCGCTTTGGTCGTTTCCTGCATCTTCCTTCTCCCTAAACTCATCGATACATCACGTTCTACTCCTCTAAGGCATTCTAGAAAACCTGTGTATGGGTCCCCACTGTACAGATTTTTTATTGCACATTAAAGTTGTTAATACAAAGTACACGAAGCGTCCTACTACCCGATTCTACAACTGCCATAGCGTAAGTGTACTTTAAGTCCACTGACCCTTTCGGCCAATCCGAATATTGACCTGCCAATGCTGACCTACCAGCAGATGTCTCGCGGACTGAAACCGAGGCGCCCAAAGTGCGAGAAAGCTCAAGGGACCCGAAAATATTCATTTCGAAGGTCCATCCTACCCGGTCAGTGCATTGCTCATCAATCAAGGGTTATAGCTCTTCTGGAAATTCGCGATGGAAATACTGGTGAATCTACACGTCGCGTTTGCCCCGAGGAGCTTGCTACAAAGAAGCCCGCTCAGCTTGACGAGGGTCGTGAAAGTCAGGAAAACGAAAAAACCCAACCTGGCGATGGTTTGATAGATAATATCAATGAGAAGATGACATTTGTATCTCTCGAGGACCTGGGCATAGGACGGGTGGGGAGTGTAGAAGAGCCAGAAGCTGTAGTCGCGGACACGACTTACGATGCAGACGAGGAGGATAACGTGGACGATAACGTGGACGATCGATAATAAGGATGCCTACCTAGGTACCTAATTTATCTAAGTAGTCTACGGTAATACTTGATAATCTCTAATCCGTGAATTTCATCCCGAGAACCAATAGTGGAATTGAGGGCTTAATCATCTACACTCTGTCAAAATTGTAAAGTTGTCAACTGCTAACATGTATGTAGGTACGTGGGCTAGAGAAGAGTATACGAACTATTAGGCGGTTATTTGTTTGAATAGGTAAAATGGAATGCTTACCTCAAGGTGCCTAAGGTGGGCAGAATACCTACTTTGTAGGAAAGATAGTTGATAAGAGGTATGCTTACCCTACATGTAGGTACCTACTTCTTAACCTTAGGTACCTAAGGTAGGTACGAATAGGCTACCGCCTTCATAGCTCCTGCCTTCATACTGCTGCACCTTCCGGGGCCCCGACCTTGCTTTCCAGCTACCGAGGCTCCTAATCTATGCCAACCTCTTGACATTCATACCATTGGTAAATTTCCATCAACCTTACAGATAATAAAGACAGATCTGATAGCAAGGCAGAAGCACCGCTGATATGTCTAGTGTCGGTTCTCAGGATGATCTCCACGTACACGTTCCCCGGGAAACCTTTAGAGGACAAGACCATCGTCGCTATCAATTTACGGCATGGCTCTTGGGATTCAGTACTACCGTTTTGCCCCTGACAATTCATGACAGCGATCATGTACTTTGTACACGAAGGGTTAGAAAAACGCTATATAGGCTCCTCCTGATCCTCATCATGGTTATCTTATACTACCTCCTTTCCCGTAAGAAGTCGCGAATCCCCACGTCGGATATATGGGCGAGGGAACCCACGAATACTTTGCGTCAATACAAGCATTACGGACGAGAATGTAATGTTTCCTCCTTGGACATCCATTTACCTGCTGGATCCGTTTGTTCGGACAAGAATTCGATGCTGACAGCCATGTCATCTGGCGGTCGGGCAGGTAAGGATGCACCATACACGCCTCGTGGTTGCAATATGCAGTGGTTTAGCTCGTGGGAAGCGTGCGATATTCTAGGTCGGTATTCTCAAGTTATTCTCGTGGGAGACTCCATGCTGAGACACATTATTGGGGCCTTGAATATCGTAATTCGAGAGGATGTGGGATACGGCGCGGTTACTAATTGGAACTTCGACGAGGAAGAAAAGTATGACGGAAACATAGTATCTTCCCCGAAGTTTATATAACCTTGTTGCTGATGTGAAACGTCTAGACGCAAGTGCTTTTGTAACAAGCAATTCGACGTCCGCGATTGCTCAGTCCAGGGTATTTTTAGCACGGCTGATGTTATAGAGCACGACCCTGTAAGTCTCACGTGCACGAGATGGATGCCGGAGTGGGACACAGATCTACGGAGTATGTTTTGATGATAGGCCTTGCTTGGTAATAACATATCATGTTGATATTTGATGGCAGTTGAGCAAATCGTGCGATATCCCATCCCAGAGGAAGAACACCGACGGTTAGAGAAGGCGATTGATCCCAACCCCTTACAGCGGAAGGCCTTCGTTCTTGGCCATGGGCTGTGGAATAATCTGGAGATAGACCAATCTCTGAGCTGGCTGGATCTGGTATTGGACACGATCGAATCGAAGACGAGAGCTAGCACGCGACAGCGGGGCCCAAACTCTAAAGGGAACGTGCCGGTTCTCCTGGTTACGCCAAACGCGGCTGGAGACAAGAAGCCGGATGAGTGGATCGTCAGCCAGGGGAATAAGGCCCTCGTGAAGTTTGAGCACGAGATGGCGGTTGAGGCAGCCAAAAGGGAAATTGACCACCTAGGGACGTGGAACATGAGCATTCAAGCAACCCTATACGACGGTGTGCATATGGATATGCGAGGGAACCTACTAAAGGCTCAGATGGTGTTGAACTGGCTGAATCTATTGGACAGGTGAGGCGGCGCCACCTGGAACCCTCACATAAGGAATCGGTAGGGGACCGTGGGGATGAATGTTTCGGACAGCTTTCGCCTTGCATTAAGCGTTCCAGGGAATTTTAAACGGGGAATAATTGAATGGTGGGGGGAGAAGGTCACGTCGAATTACCATTATATGCATGCATGCTCTACTGCACAGCTAACAGCACAAACGAGTTCCACTCCTTACCCATGTACATTAGATACAATGTCCACAACACGATGCAGCAGAGCTAATACAGCTATATTGCTACTCGCACGTACACATGTAGAATATGGTTCATATAATATGGTCCAGATGCTGATGCAAGGGGCTCATCCAATAGCTCTACTCGGAGCTATCTCCACACAAAGATTGTAAATAGAGGTAGACGAGATTTGAAAAAGACGACGCTTATTCCGCGTTGTTCCATCGCGGAATAGCCCGCGGCAACGGGGTCCATATATGTACACACGTATTGTATCTACGCTGCCGATATACCCTGTACGTGCAGAGTTACATACGTCTGGCCTATGTAGTAACTCTACAATGTACCCAGCATGATTCCCTACCAACTTGGATATGTATGCAGGGTTGCACGAAAACGGTGTCGAACCGAGCTGTTTTGGACCGGGATAAGAACCGTTTTTGGACTTGAAAATCCAGCTTGTGACAGATCAGTTGTGCTGCATGGCGTAGGGCGAGTGGATGTAACGGTTCGTATGTGGTTCGTGGCTCATTGGCTGCGGCCCGTGTTTATCTCGATGTGCGATGGGGTTCGCTTCGAAATGTCATATCATGATCACGATCTGCTATATCTTCAGGTAGTTACATAAGATGGAGGATTATAAATTGCCAGATGATTGATGGATAGGCAGGGAGGCAGCCCGGAGGCAAGGGGGGGGGGGGAGGGGAGAGATGAGGGAAAGGAGATGTAAAGCAACATACCTTCTTTCATTTCTTTTCTAGGTATGTTTGCTGTCTTTTGGGTACATTAGATGCTATTATATGCGCATTACAAATATTGATATGTTGTGGTGCGAGGCACGTGGATAAGAAGGGCGCTCATGGTGTAATGTAATATGTTCTTTACATGGCATATATAAAAACTGTCGGCTTGAAAACTCGGCTCCGGGGTCATAGCTAAGTCTAGAACATGTAGCAGAGGCATATCCGCCGATTCGCACAGGCGGTGGCTTTTAATCACCTTCCTCTTTGGAATCGGGCTTGGATATTTCGGCCGCTATTCGCGCTTTAAGCGCGTCTATCTCCCGTTTTGCAGTGGGTCCGGAAGACCGTTTTCTTAGACGGAGGTGCCGAGGATCCGGAATTCCTGGTCGTCCTGCTCCGCATAATGCTGCGCCTTGTCCCTCGCGGAGTAGGCTACCCGAAAGGATAATTATTACCGGGACCTTGTAATAGTAACAATCGGGGATGCATTGTAGAATTATATAGGTAACCATCGTAGTTATGGAAAAAGAAAAGAAAAAAGAAAACCAAAAAAAAACCAAGTTCTGTTCCTAATTACTCCATACGACGATTTGGCTCGCTACACACCGACGCATACGTTATAGCCCTCCCATAGCAACTTACACATAGGTCCGACCAGCGGGTTCCATTTATTAAACTGCTCCGCTGTTATCTTATACCGCGCCTCGATATTCGCGCACGTATCCTCTGAATTAACCTGATGCCATGATTTGCACTTGCATATGGACCCGGGCTGGGTAGGCGTAGGATGTACTCTTATACAACCTGGAGGAATCGCCGTTGTTATGAATGGCCTAGTATATGTGCTAGACGTGTCTTTGATTCCTGTACCGCTCATGTGTGAGACTTTTGAGCATCAAAGGGCCGAGCTATATATACATAGGTAAAATATTAGGGTTCTCAGGAGAACTTACCAACACAGTAGTAGTAACCTGCGCTTAGCCCGGAGCAGCTGGCTCCTACGGCTGGATTCCACTTCATGAATTGGGCCGGGTCCGATATCTTATACTTGGATATAATTTTGGAACAGGTATCGCCAGCTTCTGCCCGATGATAAGTATTGCAATCCTTCATGATGCCCGCCTGCGTGAGGGTTGGACTAGGAGGCGCCGAAACCGTTATTGTGGTATGGTTTGCTACGAGCCCCTTCTGTAAAGTCGAAGGCGGGGGAGTTGGTGTTGCAGTGACCGAGATGGAGATAGACGTAGAGACTGATTGGTCATGGCTGACCTTAACACAGTACGAGTGGCCAATTTTAATACCACTGCAATCGGGTTTGACTGAAGGGTTCTAGAGGTTATATCAGTCAAGGCTAATTTAAGATTGGGGAAGGTAAGGTATTACCCATTTGACAAAATCGTCGTGGGATAATCCCCAGTAGCTCTCAAAGTAATTACAATTGTAGAGCTTATTCAAAGCAGTCTCGTAGGATATGCATGCCGGGTACGTGTTCGGGTGAATCGTCCCATCTTGATGGCCGTTGCTGGTTCTAGACCCAACGTGTGTTATGGAGAAGAGGATAAGGCATAAGATTTGAGACACCCTCATACTGTCAGTGTTGGCTGGTATCTGATAGGAGAGAAGCTTCGTGCAGTAATCTACTTTCGAGAAGTTGCTAGCTTAAGCCTAGGAGGTAACCAATGTTTGATATAGAGTGTGCGGCGGCTTTGGGACTGGACCGCCTCGTCCCAACCTGTTGATTCTTATAGTATTGATCTCGGCCAAGATACCTAGATTGCGAGTGCATGTTGTACATCGTAGGGTAAACTCGACACTACGGCTACCAATCTCGGCTTCTGATGCCTTCAAGTCTAGGATAATTACCGTTATGTGGTTAACGCTACCATAGCTCTGTTCATTTCAACTTACCGCGACGAGACGGCGGGAATACAAGATGTGTAGTCAGTTCTGCCAGCCGACTGAGTCTGTGTTGCGGAACACCTCGGTTGGGTTAGATATCACGTTGTCTCAGTTTCGGCGGTAGGTAGCTTAGAATAGGGGTTATGAGCATTATCGCAGCAAAATCCTCACGACGCTGAATTAACTCGCCTAAACTCTAACATAAGGGCACCATGTCAAACTTCAAATTTATTCTAGGCTATGGTGATGCTGATCGAATCGTTAGTTGAACGAAATTGTCCCATACAGTGTGCTCCCGCCTGATCCGTTTGCTTTCGTCTGTGGCCCTTCCCCCGCACAAAGTCTGACTGATTTGCGACATACTCATTTCACATTCCGACGTCATGCCGACTTCAAATTGCACAAGAGTTTTGGATTGAGACAGATGACGACGCGAGTCAGTAAAGGTCCCCAAACAAGGCTGCGCAAGATCTTATGGTTATGGCATTAATGGGTATGGCACTGGGCGACGTACGTCCGCACGATCACAGCGCCGACCAGCCGAGAAGCTTTGTAGGAGGTTTCATGATCTCTGACCTAGTACAAGGCTCATATGATCAAAAATTACGGCTTATCGAAAGAGAATCCATCCAACGAGGTCTTATATTCTTTCCAACGTGCCTCTTTTAACCAAGAACTAATCGACCACGATCTAGTTAAGTAGGGGAACTTGACGGGTCACAGATCATGGTCACGCGGTCGTAGATCCCAAGTCTTTCGCTAACTATAAGCCCACACATAATCTCTTCGTCTTTTACTTGAGTTAACGTTATATAGTGTATACTCATTGAACACTTTGCTGCTAACTACTACGATTAACACGGGAATAGGGGTAAGCAAGTCTCTTTTGCCACACTATCAATTGGCATGTTTGCCATCAGAAGTTGGCTGTAATCGCCAGAGACCGCTAGCGTTACTCTACATGAATCCGAATCTAGCGGATTAAATACAAGGCTTCAAAACAGATAAGATACGAATGGGCAGCCGGACCGCGATTATGGAAATAGGAGGTATCAACCTGAGAGGTACGTAACATGGGCTTACGAGGTGTATATTGCGCTTTCTGTGTCGGAGAGAACCCTTGATTGGTGTGGTACGTACGTAGAGTGAATATCAGGATAATCGAATTGAACTATGAACGCCTGGCCCTCTACCCCCTTTCGAGGGCGCTGCGCGCCTCTTATATATCCAATACTACTAGTTAGATATATCCCTGGATCTACCACTAATTCACTTATTCCCTGACATCCTGTTGGTGAGCGAAGTCGATATGGTCAACATTGGCTTTCTGAATAGAGATCTTCATGTATCGTTCGGGGATAGGTAGCACTTCCTTCACTGGTGTGACTACAATAGGGAAACTGATATATTAGGTAGTTAGGTAGGCAATCAAGTGGTTAATGCCACCGCTACCCATAGCCGGTGTGGCGGCGACACTAGGTCATATATTCTTAAATATAATCCCCGGTAAATTTCGTATATAAGATAAATGTTAAAATAAGTATATTAAACCATAAACTATCCAATCTCAGTATATTTACCCCTAAATATACCCCTAAGCTACTTATGCATTTGACACAATATCCTAAGGTAAACAAACCTTAGGCATATCGCGATGAAGTCACTTGGATAGGTGGGTTAAACGGCGTCGTCCGCGTGGTAACATGCAACATTTAATATGCAAGTGAAACTAATAACTAAGCTGTTTAGATATTACTAAAAAAATATGAGAATGTAAAGCTTCTATAATATGTATTTTTTTCTTAGAAGAGAAGTATAACGATATATATTCTCTTGATGTGTCAAATGGCGATTATCAGCTGGGACTAATTTGGCTTATTTTCTGATGTTATATTGCAGTTTACTGTTGGTGTGAGATAAATATTTTCGATGGCAAGGCATATTACCTGATAGCCAATCCTCGCTTAGCTGGGCATGGTCATAATTATGTAAAATACCTATTTGTTACAAATCCCTCATGGAAAACCACATTTATAGTATAGCTTCTAACAATTATCTATCCCCTTCTCCATCTTACCAATACAAGAAAAGAAAGTATGGAGGCGATTGCAGCTTTTTCCTTCGCAGTTGATGTGATTCAGGTAGTTGATTGGAGTCTGAAAGCCGTGGGTGTTTGCAAAAAGGTATACGGAAACGGGCAAATCGATCAAGTACAAGGCCAGATCGTGGCTAGCTCGAAGGAGGCTCTAGAAGCACTCCAAAAAGAAATATCGTCTCAGGCACAAACCAATTATAGCAGGTGATCACGCTATTTTTCAAATTGCGTGCAAGTGTAGAGATGCCGCGAATGGATTGTTGGAAGAATTGAACATATCTGCCAGCCATAGCGACGGCAAGAAGAAACTGATATTAACGGCAAAGTTACTCTTCAAACCTCGAATTATCGAGAAACTACACAAGGAGCTTTCTTCCTATCAGAAACTTGATTCCATCTATACCAAAATAAATGAAGCACAAATACAAATACCGAATGTCGATCCTTCACATCCACCCCCAAGCTACGACAAAGCCCGTTCCATTCAGGTCCTTAAGAGCTTATTTTTTCCTGAGATATCTTCTCGCGAAGAGTAGATAGAATAGACATACCCTGAAACGTATTAGTGGGCACTATAGTCTAGAAACGATTTTTTTAGACGACAGAAACGAGTCAACACCAGACTTTTTACAGTGGCTTGTGTCTGGCTCTGGTCTGTTTTGGGTTTCAGGAAAAGCAGGATCAGGTAAATCAGCCTTCATGAAATTCGTCTCCAACAATAAAAAGACCCATAACGCAGTTGACTCGTGGTCGAGCTCTAAGAAAGCTATCACTGCAACATACTTCTTCTGGTCTCAAGGGGCGACACTTCAACAGACCCAGCGAGGCGTTTTACAAACGGTCCTTTACCAGGTACTATCAAAGATGCCCGAGTTAATAAATCTCTTCGACGTCGATCCATGTGGTGGTATTCGTCAGTGGACAGAGCAGCGTCTACTGCAAGTATTTGAAGCAATTTTGATGGACAGCGAAATCTCGCCGAGTCTTTGCTTATTTGTCGACGGTCTAGACGAGAATATAGAAAACCCTACTGAGGTATTATAGCTCTTGTGTCAGATGATATCCATGTCAAATTTCAAGTGCATCATCAGCAGTCGCCCGTGGGCGATCTTCTATCGCATGCTGAATCTATACCCTCAAATACGTCTCCAAGAGCTTACGAAAGGTGATATTACACGCTTCGTAGAGGGGAAGATTGAATCGGCATGTAAAGTCAATGCCATACACAAATATGAGCAAAGAATCTTAACCCAGTTATTAGCCTCTAATGCTGAAGGTGTTTTCCTATGGGCCAGCCTAGCAACTACGTCTATTATTGATGGTATAAGGAATGGGGACAGCATTGATGAATTGTGTTCCAGAATAGTCGAATTTCCACCTAGACTAAATGAGATGTATCGTCTCATTTTGTCTCAGATTGGTGATAGATACAGGATACAGGCGACGCGGATCTTTAAACTCATACAATTGAATCGCCCGCCCGACCTCCTGGCAGTTTCGGTACTATCCTTGGCACTGACAGATCTAGGAACCAAAAAAGATACCAGATCTCTTGAAGATAATGATGTGGAAGTTGTCCTGGGGGATTGCAACCGTACTACACGTACAGCAAAGATGTGGAAGTTTACTGCATATTTCGTTGGTACTGCCTCATAAAAACAAAATCCCTGATGAAATTGACGATATAGTGGTTGCCGAATGCATAGAGGTCACCTTCATACATCGGACTGTCTACGATTTTTTTCGACAATCGCCTGAAGCACTCGAGTTCACCTCGACTGAATCACCGAGAGCTCGTTAAGAATCTGAGGCATCATATACAATTCACAGTCGCGCTTCCTCTCTTCCCGCCCCAGTCCCCGCTGTGGGAGTTTCATTCATGCGTTGTCTTTAATTATCAGGCACAACCCCTGGACACAATTGAAATTTTATACGCAACGACGAGCTTACCTACGACATAACCCGCACTCTACAATCGACTGGCCACTATGACCCTATTTACTTGAACAATGTATATTTCTACCTACACAGCCTTGGTTGACAAAGACTCTCTAAGAAAAGCCTTTGATATCGAGAATCCCATTCACTTCACCAATGAAGCCACCTGGGATGTTAGCCATGGGGTCTTGGATCATTTAGCTACGGATATATTGGGCTCGTCTCAATACAAATGGGACAATTCCGATACTACTGGCACTTTAAGGCCCGGCATTAGAACCGGACCGTTTACAAGAGGCTATAATACTTACACCATTACTTACCTCCGGGGCTTATCAGGGGAAGTAACACCTAATCCATTAGTCGAAGTTCTGAGAAAAGTACTTAATATCCTGAACGAATTCCCTCCCCTACATCAAGGAGCTGTTCCTAGTGCCTTCCGCAATGGAACCAACCCCAGCGCTCGGCAGTGCCCAAGGAAAAAGCCGAGGCGGACCATTTTTAGTTATATAACAATAGGATTCGAACCTGCTCCGCGATAGAATTTGTTATGTGTTCTCAGGGAAGAATCATTTAGTACAGAAGGTGTTCTGCTTCGATTAAGAAAACGGCTAGTAGGTAATTAAGTATTGTCCCGAGACATTTTCGAGCGGGTGTGGTTCCCCTTACTTCTAAAAGATTTTCCAAATATTTATAACCTTTTATAGAAGACATATCCTTTCAAGAAGCTTACACCACCGAAGAGCCATACTTAACTAGTCTGGTGTGCCAGAGGATAAGAAGGTGGCCGTAAGGATTGGGTAATGAAAAATGAACTTAATTTAAACTGAGGCGAGACTTAGGAGAGATATTAAACAAAGCATGTGGTAATGAGACAGAATAAGACATATAAGTAACTGGGATCTCCACCGGAATTTAACGTTGGATTACCTTACCGAAGCGTGGATATAGGTCTAAGAATACCTTCGTTTCCTTATATATGAACAGGTAATAAAGAATAATCCTAATGAATTAAGTCCATTCCAGTGTCTTTATTGTGGTTGATATGAATCGATCGTGAAAAGCGTGGTTTTTTGCATACCTGTCTCCCCCCCTTTCCACCGCTAATACTTAACCGAGTTCCAAAGCTTGCGTCCAAACTTCACAAAGCGTTCGATTTGTTCCAGCTTGGCCTCTGTACTTAAATCCTGACCTCGCCAAGCCTCCAATAACTCGCTGATATTATCCAGCTCCTCCCAGACCTGGATAAACTTATTCTGCGTAACGCTGCCCAAGCTGGCAAAAGCTCGTTTCATAGCATCGGGGTCTGTGATCAGATTCGCGCCATTGTCGGGGATTGCGATGCCCACGACCGAGCCCTTATTTTGGTTCGCTGTCTTGACGGCGAGGATGCTCGCTTTGACGCAGTAGATGATCATGGCGGCGAGGCCAGCCGCTAGTGCTGTGGCGACGCTGGAGCCGGTCTCGTACTTGACGTCTACCTCGCGTGCTGTAGTGCCTCCTAGCAAGTGCGTCTCGAAAGGACGTCTTCCTGCTTGTTTCCCTGCTTGTTCTTTGATTACGTCGACGCCGGGTAGGACGTATGTGATACCATCGTCGGGTGTCCAAGGAAATACCGTACCGTCAGCACGTGCGGCGCCGATGCGGAAGAAGCGGTCACGCCATGGCCCGCTTGGGTAGTCAAGCTCGGTGAATTTACCCTCGTCGGGAGCAGAACAGAACATTAAGACTTTGCTATCTACTGCCTTTTTCAGAACAGTGTCCACTACAAGGTTAGGATTTAGCATATTTTCTCAGTCTAATGGGGAATCACGCGTTTATCTAGAGATCTCACGTCTCATGTGGGTTTGAATTAAATAAAGGGGGTAGGGCTTACATCGAGTTTTCGAATCGCTCTTATTATTCTTCATCGGGAGCGTCCACGACATGGAAATAATTGTAGCCTTCTTATCAAGAGCTGCTTGAATAGCCTGCAATGGATCTCTTAGTTATGCCGGCTCTCTTAAAGTAGCTTAGACGATACGTACCCGCGCTGCATAGTCCTTGTCGATCGTGTTCTTCCCATTCTCATTCTGATATGTCTTCAGTCGTATTGGATAGACTTTTGCCATTGGACAAACACGTAGGATCATACTAGCCATAACTGTACCATGGCCTCTTGCTGACGAGAACGGCGGCCTAATCTTCCCGTCATGGAAGTCAAAGCTCTTGCCCTCGAGTACATGATTGTCTAAAGTAGCATCGAACATGTCCACACCATCGTCAATCAGTGCTAGTATAACATCGTCTTCAATCCGCTCTTGGGTACCTTGGTTCTTCCTCGTCTCGAGGAATTCTTTGACTGTATTTTCCCAGAAGGGAATCATTTCGCCAGCAAATCTTGCTGTTGATTTCAGCCACCGATGAGAATTAACCCCCTTAACAAGTGTCGGAGCAGTAGAGTGGGAAACATTACTAGATGTCACTTTACTCTCATCAATACCCAAGTCAGTGGCAATAACCTCAACATCGTTAAATCCAATATCAATACTAGATGTAACCTGATTGCCGGAAGCCGCGAGCTTCTGATCTCGTATGGCTTTTCGGTTTGCATTGAGTCTGGTCTGGAACGCCATGATTTTCTTATCAATCCATTCTAGATTATCATAGGCCTTCCTATGGTTAGCCGTTGGATGTCATCAGCACACAAATAAAATAATACGTACTTTCTCTGAGGGAGGTCTATATAGGCAGACTTTCAGGAGTTGGGGGAGCATTGGCAACCCTTCTGGTTCGCTCCAGGCTCGGAGTACTGCATTACTGCCGCTCCACCTCAGGTACAGCTGCTTTAACTGCGAATAGGGGGCCGACTCGGTGTCCTTTGGGCCGTCATGCGTAAGTGCCGTTGTATTAACTTTGCTACTAACATGTAGTATAGTCTCTGGATCCAAGTCTACTTTTTGCCAATCGAGATGTTCAACAACAAAATTCTCTAGGGACTTCTGGATAGCTTGATCACTGTGGACTTTCTCCCCCGAATACCCGGTATCTTCAACCGTTAGTCTGATAATGTGGCGTACACCCTTATTATACAACCAATCAAAAATATACTTCATATCTTCGCAACCGAGGGCTCCAGGTTGGTGTATCTTAGATTGTACTTTGGCGTCTTGATCGGCCAGACGACCTTTTTGTCGGACTTCAATGTGTGGGAGCGTTACATATTGTAGCACGCTGTCGAATTTAAGACCGGATTTCGAATCTGCGCCAAATCTCCCGATGAAGTTCTTCCATAGAATATTTCGGGGTAGAGTATCATAGTCAAAACTAGTTTGGATATCTTAATATATATGTTAGTAACGGCTGGTTTTGCTTTGAGCTATGCTTACCGTTCATGTTGCTACCATATAAAAAGTTGATCACCTTTTCAGCGTTCCTTGTCCTCATATAATGCAACTTTAGGTCCAGTAAAATCTTGTCAGAAATCTTGGTACGGGCATTCAACTTGCCAATGTTCTTCTCGGCTGTGCTTGCTAACAATTTCTCCTTCTCCCGGTCTTGAGTCGCCTCAGAGTGTATCGTGTTGCTCCGCTTAACTGGTGTATTTGGTGATGGCGGTTCTTGTTGTCGAGCTGTACCATTGACTTTGGCTGCTAGCTGTATGGGCTTTTCACTGGGCTCATTCACTCGTGTTATCTGGTTCCTGTTAGTATCTCGGCCAGCAGCCTCCTCTGCTTTCTTCTTTTGGCGTAAGGTTTCACGCTCATCTAAACCACCGCTCCTATTAGCAACACGACCATATCTCTCTTCTTCGCGGTCGTTAGTGGGTCTGACTATGGCCGACCCCCCCGGATATCCTATGCCGACCTGGGGCATGGGCTCTTTAGGCAATCTTGAAGCGTCGGTTTGATCTTGCTTCATACTCCCCGTAGCCTGACGTCGTTTCATGAACTTCCTGGTAATAATATCCCTCGTGTTTTGATGTTCCCGGTAAATTGACAAGCCATCCTTATCAAACAGATCAAGAAAAGTATTTTGTGGCCTCTGTTTGTTCCGTGTCGCGTTCAAATCGCGTTCGATGAAAAGCTCAATCAGCTTAGCCCTTACTTCCGTGCATTCCTTGAATGAGATGGCATAATGCATTGGTGTCTTGCCGTCAGAATCTTGGATAGACAATGCTTCGTCGCTGGCGTTCTCAATAAGCATGCTTACCGTGCCCGAGTTAAACCTCTCCTTGAAGACGGCGTGGAGGCACGTTTCGCCTCCCGGAGCCTTCATTCTTAACGCAGCGCTTACGGATTCCCTATTTATGGACTGTCCCTGATTGTCTATGCAGGAAGAGATCATATACTCGACAAGCTGATGCCGAGAGGCTCTTATGGCCATGAAAATGGGATTGTGCCCATCTTTGTTTAACTTAATGAGCAACTCTGGATATATCCTAACCAGTTCCCGGATCAGGATTTCAATATCTTTCGACTTGATATCGTCAGTATGCTTAACTACGTCGATTAGGGCGTGAAGTAGGTTTCCTGAAACTTTGAGCGGCGATCCGCCAGCAATGTCTCCATACTCATGCAAAAACATATTAATGTCGTTCTTGTTCTCAAACTTCCCTTTCATCTTAATCGTCTTCACAGCTGCTTTGAGGCGCCCCTCATAACTTTCTTCCCTTTTCATGTGGACATCATTACCATCTTCGGGCAAGTCGAGGTCATCCTCGAAGCCTTCGTTGGGATCTTCTTGATAATCTTGTTCCGAGTCTGAAGCCATTTTGATGCGCGGTTCAAGTCGGTTGACTCTGGTGTTGAGAGGAGGTTTTCTTTTCTCTCTCTTCTTAAAAAAGAAAATAAGGACCAAGAGACTGTGTAATAGAAACTGCCGGGGCTCTAGATACCGCCTATCTCAGGTACTAGGCATCTATCGATGTCGGCTACCACCGCATCCGTTATCGCCGAGCTGAAATATAAGACACAGTGTAATATGCAAGGGTGGGTAGTAGTCAGATTCCCTCCATAAGCATTTCTCTGTGGTGGCGTACCATCATTCTCCGACTCACTTCCTCATTTGAAAGTGTTCACTCTACGTATTATCGAGAGAATGACTGAACTCACTCAAGACTCACTATGCATACAAACAGATGTCGAAAAGGTGGATGTTGGAATGTATGAGGCCGGAGATGAAGATAGAAGCGGCTTTCATGTCTTCAATATTGCAAGAGATCAATATCATCGAGCAGAAGTTCTTCAGCGAACGGGGGCTATTGACATCACTTGCAACCTCAAGGAGGTCATTCATGGGGCCATGTCTGCCAACAGTGACCGCTATGCGACCTTGATAGTTATGGAGTGGGGGTTTCAGCCCAGAGGTTCACGTCGAATTTCCGAGGCCTCAATTGAGCTTCTATTCGAGACTGCTTTGCCTGACAGCGACATCGAGGTTGAAAAAGTCTCATTCGAAGACACATATAGCCTAATGCCAACGATACAACAGGAAACTATAACCATGGGCGGGGAGGCTACAATTGGGGTTGAACAATTCGCCAGCCTTGGGTTGACTGGTAAATGGGAGAAGACAATCTCTAAAACAAGTTCAGATGCTATTACTTTGTGCGGAGGGAAACGGCTTATCAACAACAGGCCCCCAAACTGCATCGCAACGTGGAAGCTCTCCGAAAATCAGGCGCAACGCACTGGGATTCCTGCTTCGTTGAAGATCGCAATGCTTGTTTCGAGAGATGACGAAGAGAAATTCTTCTGTAAACTGGCTTTCACTTGCAAGACAGACCTAAAGACATCTTCTAGAGGCCTATTTAAGAAAATCCCTAAGGATGATCCAATTATTTTCCAGCCAAACCCTAACGATGTAGGGACGCGCCCGAATAATAATGTGGCATATGGGAATCTGGAATTGGGAAGTGTCAACCTCAATGAGCTTTGTAATGTCACCTTTAGAACTATCATCACAAAAGGGCAGAAGCCTTGGGAATAGTACGTCTAAAAGTCAGACTTGGATTGTTGCTTCAATAGGTACCTGGCCTTGTGCTCGTAGGATGCCTATTAGCTAAATCATATATCTCTGGTTCTTAAGCTACAACTTACATCAGGTTAATGAAGGAAGTACAGGTATTTACTTCCCAGGAGATTCCATGTAAAGGAGAAAAGAAAATATACCAAAACCAAGCGGCTATCACAACAGAATCCTGAGTGACACTGTACAAAAGGACTACATAATAAACGAATGCAATTGATAAGCTGACCGAGGGACTAAGCAGAGGGTTGTGATTTGCTCACCTACAGTGCGCAGACAGCAGGTGAGACGTGAGACAGGTTGGGATCATACAAAATCACCGTACCACGACATAAAGGGGGGTAGCAGAGGGGCAACTCGATATTAGATTTTCCGAGCAGAAGGCTGTATACACCGCTTTTCAAATGTTGTGTTCAATATTCATCAATTATAAAAATCTTACCTTTTAATCAAGGGCTGATCTTCGCCATACTAATTGAGGGCCGTGACAAATTATAACTCAATTAACGACGAGACCTTGTTCTCAAGGTCGGAGATGAGTACACAGTCGCGGGAAGAAGCACCGGCTTTCGAACCCAACTTAAACATACCAGATATGGCGGGAAATGATGGAAACCAAGATACAATCAGCATTAAATCCGTAACATCAGATCTGTTTTCACTGAGTGAAAGCCTACTACCCCAAGGTCCCGAATCAAAGCAGCACAAGCTTGGGCTTGATATAAATCATCCTCTGGGCTGGTCGGGTTCGGCTTATGATGATTATGAGTATGGAAGCAGTTGAAGAATATATCTTAAATGTAAAACTTACCAGTTGTACAGTGTCGTCACTGTTCACGGTATACGTGATGACTATAGGACCGCCTGGATCGATAAGGATGGTTCTTGGTGGGTGAAGGATAAACTATTCAAAGACCTGTCAATCCGAGAGATCGATTACTCGTATGATATTGACGAGGATTCGGAGCTCTATGAACCGAATGGTATCATCCAACATGCGCGAAGGCTCGTTGAAAAGTACGCTGAAGTTCGTAGGGAGCTTGAGGAGGTAAACCGCCTAGCCCACACCCCATTATTAGAACATCGAATTTCAACAGCACCTAATTATCTATAGACCGAAGTCGACCGTCCAGTCATATGGATATGCCACGATCTCGGGGGAATGATCGTGAAGGAGGTATTTATCAACCTCTGATCCTTAGGTATTTCCTAGGGATTCGATATTGCTATTTATTGACTTTGTTAGGCGCTTTCTATTGCTATAAACCAGTGCGTGAAGTATGGGAAAATACCCATGCTAACTACAGCCATTGTGTGTATCACTTTAAAAGTTAGGGGTTCTACTAATTTCAGTATTAGTTCTTCTTAGGCACACCTCATCGATTCCAATCTACAGATGATCTCGAGGACCAACTACATAAACTTATCCTCCTCCCCGGTCCTCATATTAGAAGCCAGGTGTTAAGCAAGGTTAAAAACCTAGCGCGTCAAGTTAGCATGATAAATCAAGGCTTTCTTGCTACTAAAGTCTTAGATCGCGCCGTCATATTTAACCTCTTCACTCAAAATATTCATGACAGTCTAAAGCAAGGGAATGCCGACAAAACAGCTAATGACATACATGACATAGATGAGAATGATACCAATCACCCAGTGACTCCGTTCTCGCGCTATACGCATTTCATCGGACAATCCTTTGAAGCTGCCGGAAGAAGCAGATGTGAATATATAAGCCATGAAGACCTTGCCCGGGGCGACCCGCGTAAGCCTTGGGTCCCATTCCTGTCTGATATGTTCAATACGAGCGGTTGTAGTAAGCTGTTTCTCATTGAACGCTGGCGGATCGAGATTTTTGACTGATCACGAAAACGTGCTAGATCTTAAGGTCGACCATCGTATTATTCGATTTCAAGCACGAATCCTTTCTCTCGCGCCCCCAACGCGAGCCTTAGATACGCCATTCGACCCAGCACTGCCTAGTCCACCTATTGTACAGTGGATTTTGGATGAGCAAAAATCATTGACTACTATCCCTAGGTCGGATGTGGGACTTAGCATTATGCATATCCATGGAAATGGAAATCCCCTCGTCGATATCTTAGAGACATCCCGCCTTTTCTACGTTCATCACGGCTCGCAAATCATTTGGGGAAAATCCCAAATGAGACCCGAAAAGACGATGATATATTTCGAGTTTGACATGTGGGATTCGCGGTACAATTCCATATCGTCATTGTTGACCTACCTGATCAATATCATTCTTTGGCGCTTTTGGGATAATAGCAACTCTGTATTTATTGGAAATGAATTTAAATTCCTCAATGAAACGTACGCCTGGTCACCAGAGGACTTGTATCATCTATTTACCACATTCAGAGACTTTATCCAGATTACTCATCAGCTTACTATCTTCATCAGCTACTTCGACCAATGCCCCGAGGATCAGCGTCGATGGTTTCTTAAGCATACTCTGGAGGAGCAGAGCTACAGCGAAGCAAAATACCGAATAATTATATCAACTTTGATGCGGGAGGCCATAGATATCGAGGGATTTACCAATAAGACATATATCAATCTCGAGAGCTTCCCGGCGATTGGCGAATCGATGGACAAAGTGGTCAGAGATCTCCGATTAGGACTCGTTGGTCTAATAAGGAGGCGCCCTATATACGAGGACTTTCTCCCGCAACTGGAAAGCCTTTTTAACGGGTGCAGTGATACGCCGTATCTGGGACATATCATTCTGGAATGGCTTGGGAATTTTACTCGAGGAAGACCGCAGTGTGAAATCGCAAACATAATAAACAGGCTATTCCCTCCCACGGCAGAGAACATCGTCCAGGTCTTTACCTCTTTACTTGAACCTAAACTCCAATCAAGAATTAAGAACATCTTCAATTGGGTTAAACATGCAGCAGAACCGTGGTCGCCTGAGTCGTTGATCCAGGCTCTCATGGTCCACGAGTCCCATGGTGGAGAGCCTTCTTTCAAAGACCTCGACATAGAAGGAATGATTGGCGATATTGAAGACGCGCTTGGTGGAATTATCACGGTCACAGACCGCAATGTCAGGTTCAGCCATCCTTCATTCTATCACATGCCAGATATGGATATTGAAGGGAATATAGAAGAACGTGCAGCCAAGGTAAATAGCGCTATAGCGGAAATATGCTTGCGTTATCTCCAACTTGAAAGCGCACAGGAGGAACTGGCAACATTTTCTCCAGAGAAGCTCGATGGAGGTCCATGGGAAACCTTACTAGATGCTACCATAATATTCTTCCCAAGAACGAGCATGGCTGAGTATGCCGTTCGGTTTTGGCCCCAGCATTACCAGGCTAGTGGCCAGTTTAAACCCACCAAACTTGTTGAGGAGATTTTTGCCAGTAGGATTACAAGAGCTTCTTGGGAGATCCCTTTTTGGTTATTTTCTAACCCGACCACTCGAATGCGGCGAAGCTACGTGTCAACATTACCTGTCTTTGCAATGCTGGGGCTAGACGACTTAGTAGATAAGAAGATCAAATCTGAAAGTAACCAGCATTGTTTCGAGAAGAACTGTTGGTTTGCCATCACCGAGGCTGCCCGAACAGGAAATAACGAACTAACCCAGAAACTACTGAAGCAAGTGACAGTAGATGAGGAAGAACTTCAGGAGGCCTTGTTCATGGCCGCTGCTAATGGCAACGCTGATGTTATTAACACCCTTATCGACAAGATACCTAACGTAAAAGCATTCAGTTGGCCCAAGAACCTCATATTTCGAGCTACTGCCGCTGGTTTGAACAGCCTTCTCACATTGATGCTAAAGTCTGGCTGTGATATCAATGAGATTGGTAGTTCATATAAAATGTCGCCTTCAATGTTGGCGATATGGCGAAACCGCGTCTCGACACTCGAGCTTTTATTAAACTCAGAACCTCGGCCGGATTTAACAATTGGGGACGAAAACGACACACAAATGACCGCAGCTGCTGCAAAAGGAAATCCTCACATAATAGAGCTCCTTTTGCAAGGCGGCGCGAGTCTCGAAGCGAGTGATTGCTGGGGTCAAACGCCAGTGCGGGTAGCAGTTGAATTCTGCAAGCACAATGCAGTCGATATCCTCATCAAAGCCGGGGCTGATCTTGAGCGCGGTGAAACGAGAAGACCACTACTAATCGTTGCGGCTAATATGGGCTTACAAGAGTGCGTTCGCATATTACTCAATCACGGGGCTGATATAAACACGGACTACGCTTCGGGGACTGCACTCTACACAGCAATTGAACGAGGCCATGTAAATACCGCCCGAACATTGCTTGAGAATAAACACAAACCGAACAAGGACGCGGCCCCCCCAGGCCATTTAATGCCTTTAACGATGGCCGTCTACAACGGAAGCACCGAGCTTGTATCTCTACTAATTCAACATGGCGCCCAAGTAGACTTCGTCGACCCCTCCGATCACTTCTGTAAGACACCTCTCTCATGGGCTTGCGCAGAAGGAGATCTTGATATGGTGAAGTTACTCCTGAAGAACAAAGCCGATGTCAATTATACGGGCGGGGTCTCGTATACGCCATTATATGCAGCCCTCTGGGATAGTCACATTGAAGTAGCAAATCACTTATTACAGAATGAGGATGTTGACGTCAAATGGGTGTCAGATGTGGGATTAGGGGCTCTCCACGTTGCACACTCTCATCCGAATATCATTCGAGAATTACTCAAAAGAGGTGCCTTTATTGATAGCTATAGCTCCTCTGGAACAGTCTTACATCTAGCTGCACAGTATGGCCACTCAAGGTCTATCGAGGCACTCCTTGAGAATGATCCTAACCCTAACCTAGATTGCGTTTACGGCGACAATGGTGTTTTCGAAGATCAGATAGGATGTACACCTCTACAGATAGCTTGCATGCACCACAAGCATAAATGCGTGAAAGTTCTTCTAGAAGCCGGTGCCAATTCGAGATTCAAGAACAAGAATGGCAATGATTCCGTTGATATTCTATTACTACAGACAAAAACAGATTCAAAAGATGCCTTGGAATGTCTCAAATTACTTCTGTCCAGGGTCTATAACGTCCCTATAGACGATGTTAACGAGCAAGGTCAAACTAGACTTCATCGCATTGAAGAGAAAACGCCCATATCCATGATCCAACTCCTAGTCGAATTAAGGGCACCACTAGACAGCCAGGACGCGGATGGATGCACCCCTCTCGCCGTGGCCATCAGGAAGAATAACGAGGGGGTTGCTAGATATCTCATCGAACAGGGCGCTAATGTCAACATCTTGAATCCCAACTTTGGAAGTATCATCCACCTTGCCATCAGTAACAGCACGGTATACATCGTGAGGTTACTCGTCAAATCAGGTGCAGATCTAGAAGCGGTAGATCCTAAGTACGGACAGTCGCTGCTGTATACGGCGCTGGATATCCAAGACGACTCGAAGCTCAAGACCATGGTACGATACCTAGTTGATGAAGCTAAAGTCCCTATTGACAAGCTGGGAGGTCAGCTTGGGTACCCAATTATCCGGGCAGCGGACCTGGCCAGAACCAACCACACAACGGGTACAAAGATGCTCAAGTTCCTTATCCGGCGCAATGCTCAGCTAAACGTTGCTGATGATCAAGGACGCCGGGCCATCCATCTTGCATGCACGTCCTGCAGCGATGATAGCATCAAAGCCCTGATTAAAGCTGATGCGGAAGTCGATGTGAAGGATAAATTTGGTCGCATGCCGATCCATTTCGCAGCTTCGTCACCAAAGAAAGAGTGTTTTGATTACCTATTTGATAACTTCAAAGCCGCAGATATCAATGTTGCAGACCACGATAATTGGACTCCGTTGCTATGGGCGGCACGTTCGGGGCATAGTGATACCATTGCCAAGGTAACCACGCATGACGTAGACATATGGGCTCGAGGGCTTGCTTACGGTGCAAGAGAGGACTGGTCGGGGTTAAAGCTCATGAACTTTGCCAACAATTCTACAGAGCTGAGAGACAAGCTCGAGCCCAAGACGCGTACGAGGATCAACCAGGACGGGGAGAAGGAGGAGTGGGACGACTCTCAGCACAGTATTAAGCCTGGACACTGGAAAGATATTGACTGCAAGAGCTGCTTTGTTGTTAGTATAGCCCCTTTTATCTGCGGAGAGTAGGATGCTGATGTTACCGCGATACGCAGAAGATTGTAGGGCTACAATGGAAATGTATCGACTGCACCCACGACTTCTCGCTTTGCTTCAAATGCTATAGCCACCGATCCGATATGCACTACCGGGAGCATAACTTTGAGGAGATAGGTCCGCTATATGACGAGAATTCTCTACAGTCGGACATCAGCGACGGCGTGAAGGAACTGCTGCAAGAAGAATCGGGGGATGAGGGAGAAGAGCAAGATCATGTGAGCGATGGTGATGATATAGGGTGGTAATGTGACGAGAACCTGAGCAGAAATTGATTTGACAAGATGACCTTTATAATGTTGTATTAACCAAGGACAATAATCATAGCATTCCCTTCGTTGTTCTCTTATATGGATAGTGCTTGAATGCTGTCTCCGTACAGGGGGCAATAAATTCTTCAACCCTATATCTTCAAGGGAAGCATTCTAGCTTTTAAACAGGCAAGTAACGATGCTGAGTAATTCATCTTGTTATACTTAACATTATTTCTAGTGTATAAGGGTACGAAATGAGGCAGCGGCCACCCCTTATAGTCTTTTGACTTATCCTGACCTTAGGTACCTGCATTATATACTACCCCTTTTCGTTCATGTATTAGGTACTGTCTTCTACGATCAATACCTGGCCTTTATATAATACCTAGATATTCCTTCCGTTCTGCATTATGAAGTTGATATAGATTTTGTCTTACTTACTGTTACTATTCTACGCGTATGACAGACTCTCAATACATCCAGCATTAGCGCTGGCTTTCGCCTCCTCAAAACCAGAGGATGCCACGCATTGATTAAGGAAACGAGCAGTAATTAAGGAAAAATCCAAAACACTTCCAAACAGAAAGGTTTCCCCTTTATTTCCAAGTATTTTTATCGTTTATAACTTTCCATAAAGCCATGCCTTTCCAAGAATCTCGCAGAGGCCGGAATAACCCCATATTGGTTTTTAAATTCTGGTACGCTATCATTGGTCTTACTCGGTTCTTTCATTGTGGTACGGCGCCCTCTGGGTTCGAGGAGGCAAAAGCCAACACTAATGGCGGTTAAGGGGTATGTTACGCTGGACACATAACTCGATACCAACTACTATACCCCGCTCCCAAATATTAGAAATATATAATTATTCGTACGATTTCAGTACAGTAAAGCGTTCTAAACCTTTCTTTTTCCTTGTTGAAATCTGTCGACATAGATTACATATGCCCTTCAACCATGAAAGCCTTCAAATTAGTGCGATGGGGCGAACCGGGACAATACGTCGACGTGCCTAGGCCCCAGCCGGGCCCTGGAGATATCCTCATTCGTATGAAAGCCGCCGGTCTGTGCCGTTCCGACCTAGACATGGTAGACAGCCAGCCTGGGTCGGCGCCATACGCAAACTCTCTCGACCCGGGCTATATCCTGGGCCACGAGAATGCCGGCTTCGTGGAAGAGGTCGGCAGTGCCGTAACGGACTTGCGGGTTGGCGAAGCTGTTGTCGTCCATCACATGCGCCATTGCGGAAATTGCGAGTACTGCACGGTTGGCGCCGAGCAGCATTGTGAAGCGTTCAAGCGCAACGCGATTGCAATGGCACGCGGATGCGGCGTAGATGGTGGGTTGGCTGAGTTTTTATTGGTGCCGCGCACCGAGGTCGTCTCTATTGGCGACGGAGACCCTGTTCTGTACGCACCGCTCACCGATGCTGGAGTGGCGGCCTACCACGCCGTCCAGACCGTCATCCAACGCTTGAAGCCGGGTACAAGCGTCGCAATCATCGGCATCGGAGGACTTGGCACATACGCTGTGCAGTTTGTTAAGCTTCTGTCATCGGCACGCATTTTTGCTGTCGACAATGTTGAGGCACGGCTTCGCACCGCTATTGAAGTAGGAGCCGATGAAGTGGTGCTTTTCACGGGCGACGGAACGTCAGCGGCGGAGCAGATTGTATCCCGGACAGGGGGCCGTGGGGTTGACGCTATTATTGACATAGTGGGAAGCACCGATACTCTTCGACTTGCCGCCAAGATCTCTCGTCCGCGGGGCCGCATTGTTCTTGTTGGAATGAGAGGCGGTACGTTGGAAGTGGGATGGGGTTTATTAGCTACCAGCTGTGAGTTTGCCATCAGCTTGGGGAGTACACGGCAGGATTTAAAGGAGGTGTGCGAGCTAGCAAGGACGGGAAAACTTAGGATTGATATTGAAAAGTTTTCTTTTGACGAACTGGAGAAGGCCTATAGCGCTTTAAGGGCGGGAACACTGGCTGGGAGGGCGGTTGTGGTATTTCCATAGACGTTCACAAAGTCATGACCATTTTTAGTGTTATATATCCCACCTATCATGACTATTAGATACCTACATTATGACGAGGTGCTTTAAGCTTGTTTCGTTTAGCAAGAAGTCACTCGAGGGCATTAAGGGGCATTTAACATTTAACAAGAGGTAATCATGATCTGTAATATGCCTAAGTTATTACTGGGTGTCAGTGTATTTTAACACTTGGTCTCCTAACGCTATAAGTTACCTAGGTGATGCTACATGAAGTACTTATAATTAAATAACAGCATGAAGTATCACTGGGACATGTAGTAGCTCAAGCTCCATGTTACTGAAGTAAAAACTTCCTGGGCGTGTCGCCCTGGCCAGGCGACCCCGGAGGGTTTTTCACGGGTGCGAGTGTTCGAGTCCCACCGTATTTTTTATACCTTTCCGCCTCGATCATCCTCTATATGTTATATAGTTCATGAAGTCGTATTTAAGACAAGGAATCGGCTGAAGTTTGGTAACTGATTTGACTGATTTGACTTAGTTCCAGGAGGAACCAATGCAAATCCAGGCGGGGGGAACTCCCTCTCTTGATGGATGCATGCTTCGTATTAGTTACTATTCTATGTATATGCTCTTAATATTTCCTACTATTATTCCAGGGCAGTCCAAGTTATAGGATGAGTATATTCATTCATCGAGGTCCTTTATTATGTGCATAGGTAGTCTTCTTGAAGAGGCCACCAGCCACAAGTTATATTGAAGTTGACACCCATCAGCCACAGCTAACTTAGCGCTCCTGTAAGTACCTAGGTACTTTATGTGCCTTAGGGCCTTTTAACAACATTGAATATTAATGGCTGCCTGTGCGGCCTTGTCGGGGCCATACGCGTTCTTGCTCCGCCACGAATAAGCTTTGTGGGCGGTTCTAAGAATCCATCTGATATCTGCTATTACGGGCGGTTAAGAGATCATTTTTCTCGAGCGAAAATCGGGCGAAGAGAAAAAAAAAAATGAGATCGTAAGAGACTGAGGCTGCTCCAACATTGTTATTGGAATGCTGAGACTTTTGTAATAAATAATAGGAACTACCTGGATACTTAGATAACTATTAGTTTAGTAAACTAACTACCTGTTACCTCTAACCTAAGCTATCACATGACTGTGATTTGTCGCCTTTGCCGGGGTGATTGATGGGGTGATGTTAGCGCGCCCCTTAGGTACGAGCTTAGTGTATGAGGTACTAATTGAAGTACCATTGTACCAAAAACTTCCAGCACTCCCAGACAACCAAGCGTCTCGGATACAACTTTAGCCTTTCGCAACCTTCCCAACTTCTAACTTCCGGCCTCCCTCCAACCTCTCTTTGCTTTTCCCATTCCCAACTTCCTTTACCACACCCATACCATCAAACCAATACCAACTCTCATCATCCGCGACAAAAATACTATCCGTATTGCATTTATACCGGTGCCGCTTTCGACCAACATTCGCTTGCTTATTGACAAACCCAACCCGACCGTGTTTTATCACCACTCGCCAAAATGTCGAACGAAGCTCCCTATGATCCTTACATCCCCAGCGGCCAGGCCGCACCTCAACAGGGCGGCAACAATCGAACGCAGGCGTTACAAGCTGTAAGTTTATTTCGTCGACTAATTTTAATTTTCGATGCCTCTGCTCCCGGACCACGAGATATCGATAGCCAATATAGAGGACCAATTGCGACAAGAGAATGCTACGAGAACAGCTCCTTTTATGCCCAACGATATCCATCTTAACCATCACAACTCTACGGAATAATCAATCCCAATGCTTTGAAAAAAAAATATTATTCTAGCGATGGGTGGTCAGGAAATCAAAAAGGGATGCGCACACGCGTAAAGTTGATGACGGAAGATTTGAGGCCAAGGATCCCTTCTCAACGCTACATCACGGACTAGGGTATCGCGACAGGCTTCCAGCATATTCACCCAATTTTTGCGACATCGCAAGCAGTGCAATCCGAAATGTCTTAGAATCCAGGAGCAGAATGCGATTTATAAATAGCCAAAAGTACCTAATTTAAGCTAACAATTAGTTTCACAGCAAATCGACGACACCGTCGGTGTCATGCGAGAGAACATCAACAAGGTCTCCCAACGTGGCGAACGTCTCGATGCCCTGCAAGATAAGACCGACAACCTAGCCGTCTCCGCCCAGGGCTTCCGCCGCGGCGCCAACAGAGTCCGCAAGCAGATGTGGTGGAAGGACATGAAGATGAGGATGTGCCTGATTGCCGGTATCATCATCCTAATTCTAGTTATCGTCATCCCTTCCGGTAAGTTACGACTCGGCCATTTAGGGATAATCCCATTCTAATTTATTCTATAGTCCTCGCAAGTCAGGGCAAGGTCTAATTTAATTACACTGTACATCACTGGGTACATCAGGTGCTGATCGACTTGATGGCATGAATGGACGGGTTAAATCTCGCAGGCTACGAGCAGCAGTAGACGCACATTGGCGACACCGTACATGAAAAAATCTTCGGAATCGCTAGCACAGAGAGGAGTTTGTCTTTGATTTGGCCGGTCTTTCTTTGGCTTGCAAACGTAACGAATTCGGAACGCTTAGGATACCGTCGACGCCCTAACCACACCCTTAGGGACGGAGCGGCGGACGAATCAAACTTGTATGTATGATGGCGAGGCGTTTTTCGACTAATTTAAGATATCTTACGACCCCCTTAAGATCGATGATTATTGGCGTATAAACTAATTACTCTTTCTTGGTCTTAATCCTGTTGCGAATGTGTTCTTGGCCTCCTCTATGAGTAGTGAATTATGGTAGCCGCATAGATATGAAATGAATAGCTTCAAGACTTTGATTATCGCTATATGAAATTCGAAGGTATAAACGCCGAAATCATTTTAAAGTTTCTAGGTTAGGACGGCGGTAACAATTGTACGTATCATGCATGGCGTTGGAAACGAGCAGGTGGTTTGCCTTGTCCTGTAGTCCATATTGCCGGAATGAATAGCTTTTGAAATTAAATCTTTTAGGATACCTATAAAATCTAATTTGCGTAAGCGATAGATTGTCTGAGGGGTCTTTCATCAACACTTGCCGGAACTTCGATTATGCTTCATATGGTGTTATAGAGGAAGAGCACAGTTGTAATTTTCCAGTCCATCCTAGAAATAAGACCAATCGTACCCAGTTTATGAGATCGCGGAATACACTAGGTAAATTTCTAAATGAATGCTGTGGTTATTCTAGCTGTTGAATAGTTATTGAGATATCCATGAATACCTAGTATGCGATATAAAGAAATATGAGCACCTTGATCCAGCCAACCTTTTCATAATGTCAACTATAGCCTGTTTGGTCTTAGATTCAAAACAATTTAACTCAAAGGAATATTTCCAAAATATTGGTGAAGGGTGCTAAGTACCTAGGCGAATGAAGTATGTGAAGATGAAAGATGACGTCAGGGGTAACTATGGAACGTCTCGATTAATAGGAGCTTGCCTTTTTTGTAAGATCGGTCTAGTAGGCATATGAAAGGGGATATTGGGGTTGGCACATATATTGTCTTAGACTCAGGTGTGGATACATATATTGCTATCGGCAAGCCTGAAAACTGTATCATGATATCACTTCAAAGCAATTAATATTATGGCTGTCTCGTTACGAAGTGAAATACTGAGTGCCTAGATGGGTAATTGTAAGAGCAACCTACTTGTTCATATATGTCTTGATTAGTGAGATAAACTATCTATAGGAGCTCGGTCTTCTATCACAATCCTCCATCACATCACGTTGCTCTTTCCTACGTATCTTAAGATCACAGGACAGACTGGATCGTGATGATAAAACAGTATCGTGGGAATCATGAAAGTGAGCTTCGCTAAGTCTAAGTCGTTTATATTTACAACAAGAAAAATGTCAATGCAAGCGTAATTCCGTACCTAGGAACTAAGAGACATGTAGCGCAAAATAGAATCCTCGGACTCTACAATGGGCAGGTTTTTGCCATCTTATTTATGGTAGCCATTGCTTCGCCATGGATCGATACTGACTTTTATACACACTCTTTAGGTCACTATAGAGAGTAAATGGGTGTGATGAAAAGGGATGTGAGTTGCGACCTAGGTATATGGTGCTGTACGCGTCGGAAGCGTCCCTGATCCGTCTGCTCTGAAGGTATATCGTTCCTCTAACGCCAACTTTAAGTATGTTGCAAATAAGCATGAAGGTCTAGTGACGTTCATAATTCTGCAAGGCGGTCAAAATTGAGTGTTTCCATGTGCGAAGTATTTGCTATTTACCGTATGATATTCAATGTAGATCTGACTTGAAGAGGTGGTGAGACATGGAGTAGGTACAAAGCGACTTGGTGCTAGGGTGGATTGCGGTGCGATAGCTGGATAGTCAATAGTCGTATTGAAATTTCGGTTGATACCTTTATTTTTTAATAGACTACGCTTCTAAAAGAAAAATAGGAATCTTATCAAGAGCAAGAGTGTATAATCCCTGAACGATGGCAAGGGAATATTCTGGTCAGCCTTATCCCTCCGGCGGAGCTGCGACCGTATATCTCAGCATTAGTCACTAATGATTAAATACCTTCATATTTCAGACAAGGCGTTCCGTGTCTTAAACTGGGTGGCGATTAACCAGCGGGGATCGAAGGATAGGCGTCCTGGTTGCCGCAGTGTCCAGCAACTGGCTCCTTCAGCCTATCTGTTTAAGCATTAGTGATGCACCGGATAGGTAGGTAGGTTAGGTAGGTAGTTAAGGTAGAGAGCGATCCGGCACAGTCTTCATAGAATCTATGCAACGCAATGCTGTTGAGTTTTCAGCAGGGTCGCCATAGAAGTATTCTCAAGTCCTAGTAGCAATGGTAAAAAATGGTAAAAAATGGTAAATCCACGAGGTATAAGGATCAGGGGTAATAGTTCCGGCTAACTATGCAAAGCCTTCTTTCTAAGTTCGGCAGCTGAAAGTGGCCTGTCTTAGACATACCTGATACTTAATGACATCGGCAAATAAACAGACGTGTCTCGACGTATAGAGGACGAAAGGATGTGGTTTGATTGAGGTCCTTGGAATAGCAACGCAACATGAGGTCTTATGATCAGTGAAATTTGAACCTGGCTCCGGATGCACACGGTAATAGCCAAATTCCCGACAATGCAGCTTTTGGAGAATGTCGGAGACAGAAACTTCACGCCAGTATGTCGCTAGAATGTTTGACTGTATATCACAGTAGCCGGGACTCGGTCTTCCCTAACATTCAGCATCAAGTAGTACAGAGGTGAATACAGAGATGCCCTTTCGGTATTCGTTACGCCGGGGAGACCAATCCGACTGCATGAGCACCGCCTCTCGTTTAAAGCCGGCAGGTGATAGAATACAATACATGCCGTCTTAAGCGCCAGTACGACTTTTATGAACGCGGCGGGATTTTTGCGTGGACTCCAAATCGATGTTCGAGCACGTTGGTCAGTCTGATAGCTACAGCACACAGCCTCGACCACGACGACGACGAGCATGAGGTGTGTGTGTATGTGTCACCGGGTTACTAGACTAGGAATCATTTAGCTGAGTGCTTTTTGGATAACGCACCGATCGATATTGAATGGATCGAGCTCCTAGCTTACCCGGCATCTCGGCCACGGGTGGTTATCTTGAAGGTCAAGTGGTCATGCAGAATAAGGGACTGACTTGTCGAGGTTACTCTAGGTTTTATGATAGGAATCATTTTACTTAATTGGATGTTCGTTATTCTTGGCTGTGTAAGGTACGGTAGTGAAGCTTTTGGATCTGCTGCAGCTCGAAGCTTGGAGGCCTGAGAAAATGCGACCAAGGGTGGTGATGGTGTGTTGATGCGACAATCATAGGGTCCAGCTAAAGAGGATGTTACTACATACATGTAGGTATATTATATATTTGAAGTTGTAGATGTTTCTTATTTCTTGCATGTTGTACCGCAAATGGCAACTACCTAGGTACGTACATACATACCTCTAAATGCCTAGGTATGTTAGGTACATAAGTACTTTTGACTCTTCTAATCGAATGCCCATTGCCCATTTATGTACCTAATGTATTGTATGTGGGGTTCGTGTACTTGGCGTATTTAGTGTACAAGTATGTCTACCTACTAGCAAGGGCCTGGCTTTAGTGCTTCTCCAAGTTTCAATTGGCCGACTGCGGTTTTCGGCGTCGTAAGAAGTCCAAGAATTTTTCGATTTTTTTTTTCCCTTGGTCACGGTACAAAGTTCTCCAAGGATATCAGTATCACGGCCACTTTATCTGCCCCTCTTCATAATATTCTAACAATGTGAACTTGAAAATCTTACACATAGCAACTTTTAATTTTCTTCTAGGTTAGTCAATTCAAGTAATTAAACTTCAGTAGTTCAATTGGTTCGCCTATTACGTCCTGTATTTCTCTCCAGCGTTGTGTTCGTCTACCATCTTCTGTATATAAACTGACTCACTTCGTCGTTTAATTTAGTTCCTCTCCCTTCGAAGCTTTTTCAAAGCTTCGTTGCCGACAGCTTGATCCCCGTCGTGATACCACGGCTGTATAGGCCGTGGAAGTGCCAATTGGACTTCAGGACTTAGTCGTTCACTTTTTCGACTCTTGACAATATGATGTCGGTACGCGCTTTGCGAGCAGCCGTGAGGGCTGGCTCTCGTCGTGTCTCTCCCCGAGCCACTCTTCTGACTCCTGCAGTCGCCACAAGCCTCTCCCTGCGAACATCACAAGCTGCTTATTCTTCCGCCCGATCGAACGACTCGACTACGCGTGCCGCCGTTATACAGGTGCTTAACAACGTCGGATCTAAGCGCGAGGTCAAGCAATACCTTTCCCATTTCTCCTCCGTCTCCTCTCAGCAATTCGCTGTGATCAAGGTCGGAGGTGCTATCTTGACCGACTATCTGGATGAACTCTGTTCATCGCTGGCCTTCTTATACCATGTCGGACTTTTCCCTATCATCGTCCATGGTGCTGGCCCCCAGCTCAACAAGCTCCTCGAGGATGCAGGTGTCGAACCCCAGTTTGAGGAGGGAATTCGTATTACCGACGGCAAGACCTTGGGGATTGCGAGACGACTTTTCCTAGCGGAAAACCTGAAGCTCGTTCAGCGTCTAGAAGAGATGGGCGTCCGCGCTCGACCCATCACTTCGAGCGTCTTCACCGCTGATTATCTCAACAAGGATAAATGGAAGTTCGTTGGAAAAATCACCGAAGTTAACAAGGAGCCTATTCAAACTGCTATAGAAAACGGCTATCTACCTATCCTTACTTCCATGGCAGAGACGAGGGAGGGTCAGGTGCTGAATGTCAATGCCGATGTCGCAGCGGGAGAGCTAGCTCGCGAACTCGAACCGCTCAAGGTTGTCTATCTTAGCGAGAAGGGTGGGTTGTTTGACGGTAACGTGCAGAAGATCTCTGCCATCAATCTCGATGAGGAATACGACCACATCATGTCACAGCCCTGGTGCAAGTTTGGAACCCGATTAAAGATACGCGAGATTAAGGAACTTCTAGAAACTCTTCCGCGTTCGTCTAGCGTCGCTATCATACATCCTGCAGACCTGCAGAAGGAGCTGTTCACAGATTCCGGGGCCGGCACTCTAATTCGCCGAGGGGATAAGTTGATGACTGCAGAGAGCGTTGCAGACTTTAGCGATCTTGAAAAGTTAAAGGATGTGCTTGTTCGGGATCGCGAAGTCCGTGATGCTAGGGCCACGGTGGATCGTTACTTAGAGTTTTTGAGCGGACGGAAATTCAAGGCTTATTTTGACGAACCCATGAAGGCTCTTGCGGTTGTCCTTGACCCTGCTCTAGACCAATCATATTCGACCTTGGCCACTTTGACGATAACTAAGTCCGGCTGGTTGACAAACGTCGCTGACAACCTCTTTGCTGCTATTAAAAAGGAGTACCCTAGCTTAGTCTGGACTGTCAAGGCCGATGATGAAAATCTTACGTGGTTCTTCGACAAGGCCGACGGAAGCATTGTCAGAGGCAACGATGTCATGTTCTGGTACGGCATCGAGCCTGGAGAGGAATTAAACAAGCTCATGAGAGAATTCACCCTCCACGGCCGAGCAATGCTTGGCGATTCCAACCTAGAGTCGAGGCTCCACCGGGCAGCCCAGATTGCCTCCGAGAATCTACGAGCACACTTTGCGTCCGGCTCCGTGGCTAACCAGGCCCGAGGCTATTCTACGCTTGCCCGTCGTTCTGTTTTAGGAGCTACATCAATGGGTGCCTTCTCCCGCGGATCGCGCAGAGGCTTTGCAACAGAGACTAACCCTAATCCACCATACGGCAAGAAGCATGCATCGAATACGCAACCCTCTAGGGTCGCGCTGATTGGCGCTCGAGGCTACACTGGTCAGAATCTGATTAGTCTTATCAACACGCATCCTAATTTCGAGCTTCGTCACGTGTCATCACGAGAATTGGCAGGACAAAAGCTAGAAGGTTATACAAAAAAAGAAATTATTTATGAGAACCTGAGCTTCGACGAAGTGTACGAAATGGAGAAGAAAGGCAAAATAGACGTGTGGGTGATGGCGTTACCGAACGGTGTTTGCAAGCCGTACGTTGACGCTATTGACAAGGCCAAGGAATCTTCTTCTTCTAGGGAAGACAACAGCATAATTGTCGACCTCTCCGCTGATTATCGATTCGATAAATCGTGGGCCTATGGCCTTCCTGAGTTGGTTAAGCGATCCGAAATTGCTCAGGCCACCCATATTTCGAACCCTGGTTGCTACGCTACAGCAGCCCAACTTGGTATTGCTCCCCTCGTGGAGTTTCTCGGCGGCCAGCCCACCGTCTTTGGAGTTTCTGGATATTCAGGGGCAGGCACGAAACCTTCTTCGAAAAACAACGTGGAGCTCCTAACCAACAACATCATTGCTTACAGCTTGACCGACCATGTTCACGAGAAGGAGATTAGCAGTCAGCTCGGTGTTGAGGTAGGGTTCATCCCACACGTCGCAGTGTGGTTTCAGGGCATCCACCACACAATTAACATTCCCTTAAATAAGACAATGACTTCACGAGATATCAGACAAATGTACCAAGATAGGTACGCGGGAGAGAAGCTGGTCAAAGTAGTAGGAGAGGCGCCATCAGTAAAGGCCATCAGCGGGAAGCACGGCGTTGAAATAGGCGGATTCGCGGTTCACAGTTCTGGGAAGCGAGCAGTCATCTGCGTGACGATCGATAATCTTCTCAAGGGAGCCGCAACACAATGTTTGCGTGAGTATTCCGACCTACCAAATCTTAGGATGATTAGAAGGTACTAACATGAATAATAGAAAATATGAACTTGGCTCGCGGGTATGCGGAGTTTGAAGGTATACCTCCAATGGAATAGAAGGGGTTTTTTTGCTGGAAGCGGGCTCTCGGGATTGAACGCTTGGCGATGTAAAACTTGTATATACTGAAGCCGTGCGAAGCGTTAAAAATGTTTATAACCGTGGTGCGAACCTAAATGATTAAGGGATGTTTCCCTAGTAGAATCGGTATGCTCTATCGTTGATGTTTCTAATTGGTGTTTATTGAGACTTGAAGTCTAAAATCAGATGATCAAGTCAGGAAACCCTTGAACTCGGCTTCTGTAAATAGCAAACGGCAGGGTCCGTTAGAAGACGCCGTTTGAAAGGCCTCGGAAAAAGAAAAGGGGGGCCAGACACCGAATAAACCAATTGCCTAACCGGGTACATTAGGTACCTACCTAGGTAGGTACATGTAGCTTAGCATGCTTAGCGTAGGTAGTGGAGTTCTAGACAAACCCCTGAAGGCGTGTTCCGATGGCGGATGGCGGGGTGTGTTGGCGGGGCAAACGGGGCAAATTTTTAGAACCAAAGCAGCCGATTCATTGCGACATGCGCTTCGGAATCCGTATAAATCTACTTATACACCATACACCATACACCTACCTATACACTTATACACCTATACACCTATACATAACAAATATACAAGGGTATGATAATATCTAACACTAGAATATCCAACACTAGAATTTGACCTTCACACTGGTTGATTAAACCACAGACGACAATGGCTTCCCAATTCCCTACTAAGAAATGCGGTAAGAACTCTTCCTCGACATCAATGGCAAAAAGGAGTCATATACTAAACTATGCTTGCTATGCGAAGGCGTGTTGGGCTGCACTGGTTCCGTGGGTCAGCGGTTCATCTTGCTCCTATCTCAACATCCACACTTCGTCCTCCATGCCGTGGGAGCGTCGTCTAGATCCGCCGGTAAGAAGTATAAGGATGCCGTACGATGGAAGCAGGCCTCTCCCATGGGTCCTGTGGGCGAGCTCGTCGTCCGCGAGTGCAAATCTAGCGAGTTTGCCGACTGTGACGTCGTTTTCAGCGGCCTAGACTCGGACGTCGCTGGTGAGATCGGTACGTTTACCTCAAACCATTACTTATCTTATAGTCCAATTGACTAATACGGGGTCACGTCCGCAGAGATGGAATTCCTTAAGGCGAACCTGGCCGTCTTCTCCAACGCGAAGAATTACCGTCGGGACCCCCTCGTACCTCTTGTCGTTCCTACTGTCAACCTGCCGCACCTCGGTCTGATCCCGCACCAGCGGAAACACCACGGCCTAGAGAAGGGGTTCCTGGTGTGCAATTCGAACTGCGCAGTCATCGGCCTAGTAATTCCGTTCGCAGCGCTGCAGGCGCGCTTCGGCCCCGTCGACACCGTCAGCGTTGTTACCATGCAAGCCGTCTCCGGCGCCGGCTACCCCGGCGTCAGCAGCATGGATATCATGGACAACGTGGTGCCGTTTATCTCTGGCGAAGAGGACAAGCTCGAAACCGAGGCGCGCAAAATCCTCGGCGGAATCAACGGCGACGCCACCGCCCTCGTCGAGCAGGAGGAGCTTCGCGTGTCTGCGGCCTGTAATCGCGTTCCGGTACTTGACGGACATACGGCCTGCGTCTCGCTGCGGTTCAAGAACAGGCCTGCGCCGAGCGCGGAGGATGTGCGTGCTGCCCTGAGAGAGTACGTCAGCGAGGCTGAGAAGATAGGGTGCCCGAGTGCCCCACGCCCGAGCATCCAGGTCTTCGATGAGCCAGACCGTCCGCAGCCGAGGCTCGATCGCGACTTGAGTCGCGGGTACACGGTTAGCGTGGGTCGTGTGCGCGAGGACGAGAGCGGCATCTTCGATATCAAGTTTGTCGCGCTGAGCCATAACAGTAAGCTTCCCCTTTTCAACATCCATCCCTTGGTATGCGGAGTAACAAGCGAAACTAACATATTTTACAGCTGTCATCGGAGCTGCAGGCTCTTCGATATTGAATGCGGAGGCGGCTGTACTGAAAGGTTTCATCTAGATGACGAGCGAGCTCCTTGCTAGCATCTACGGGCGTTTTCGGGCGGTTGGTTGGTTCATTTACATTGGGAAGATAAAAGGAGGTAAGCATCTATCCAGTCAGGCATCTGTAGATATGTAACTATTCAAAAAGAGACGGTCGATGTGGAACATGAAATTCAATCTATTATACATCTGAATTATAAATATTTGCTACTGTTCTATGAGGAGTAATGAATAAGACTTCGATCTAGATGTTGCGTTTACTCCCAATAGTTAACCACAATCTCAACTTTTGAAGCGCGTAACAAAAAGGCCCTAGGCTAGTGACTTACATAAATTATATCATTCCTCGGAGCTATTACTTGGTTTACCTACAAGAAAGGGATGTTGTAATAAATTTATCAGGTCATACTTTCGTCCGCGTACTAGTTGTAACCCCCTGGGAAATTCCGATTGGGTGTTGCCCAGTTGTTAAGGGGTAATGGGTAATGCGCTTGATGCCCCCTACCTGCTTAGGTCCGCGCGATTAAGTGGGGATTCAACTAAACAATATAATTGTTAAAAAGAGAGTTTATGACATGATTGGTCATCGTGCCCTAGCATGGTTCATGGTTTGGTGGTCTAGTGGTATGATTCTCGCTTAGGGTACACCCTATGCTGCAGCATGCGAGAGGTCCCGGGTTCAATCCCCGGCCAAACCCTTACATTTACTTTTTTACCATTTGCATGCGTAGACGTATTGTAATCGTATAATTAATTGCTGCCTTACTTATTCTTTTCCCTTTTTATCCCATTTGTGTTTGTGCCCGAAGTCATATCCTCATAAATGAATACCAGGCTTAGCTGACTCATATTAAGAGCCCCTATATAATTGAAGGTCTTTCTAGTTTACAATAAGGTAAATCTAATATATAGATGTATAGAATTGGGATACATAGGTATATATGAGAAGTATAAGAACACCAATTCATTACAGTATATTAGTAGGGAACTACGTAACTAGACTCTTGATTAAGGATTTTATCATATACCAAGAATAATTGCCTAAATCATAGCCTACGAGATTCAAATCTCCTAGGTTAGATGTCAACACGCCTCCTATTAATTCCCGGCGTAATTCATGTAAGTACGGGGAAATATTGATGTCCTGGTGAACAGATGATATGACGATTATAGGCTGAAACCGAGACACGGTCTTAGCAACAGCCCAAAGCTTTCACAGCTATAGAAAGCACGGTTGATGACCTTTGGAAATCGAAATATAACTCCGTCTTCAACTCTTATATTCTGCAGTCTTCGTAGCATATATCCGTGTACCCACCCATCTAACAATCGTATAGCGCTATCCTATAACTGATCAAATGTATAAGTTTCTAGACGAAAGGGTTCATAGGAATTCTATTAGATTGAACGATGGTTATATAAACTCAAGAATGGCCGAACTTTAATACACCAGCAGATATAGTGTTTATTCTAGGTCATAGCACATGTTGCTCGGTAGTCGCTAGAGGATGATGTTTATGCTGTCAAGTATTGAAACGACTTCGTTGTTTCGAAGGGAACCCTCTAAACCTAACCATGGAAGCTTGAACCGCACATACTTAAAGCAATACCATTTAATCTAGATATCTCATTTAGAATCCTAACAGTTGTTCAAGTCTTGTCGGTAATGCTGCCAAGCAAACTGTCATCTTGTCCCACCGTCTCGACTCATGAATGCGTGCACCTCAGGCATTCGTCATATACCAGTCCCGAGGGATACTAGGATTACTCACACCTATACCAGAGTACAAATACACAGCCATAGATCTCCCAAACACCACAATCGCCCCTCAAGACTAACCGCCCCGGCTTCTGTGTGAACAAACCGTGATGTCGATACACCCTGTTGTGTTCATACTCGTTTCTGCAGCTCTACTCTGTACCGGGAGCCTGTTCGCTTGCAGCGCGGGCACGTGGCGAGCCCAGTCGATGGATGAGCAGCGGTACGAGGTTGGTGCTATGGTGAGCAGATGCATCGCAGTGCTCAGTCTGTTGATTATGGTGCTCGCCTACGCGCAGCACGGAATCAACGTACCTCTCGCATTCTTCATATTTCTCATGGCACCTACGATAAGAACCCATCTTGGGAAACGTGCAGCGCAGGGTATACATGTAAGTCTATTCCTTTCATGTTGATGGCATACCTACCCCGTCCTAGATCCGTCGTATAATTCTAGTTACTATATCAACTCTATGAAACCCCTACTTACACAGTGCAGTTACAACAAACACCCCCGGTGCTTGGGCGGCAGCTCAACCAAGATATATCTAGTGGAAATACGTCTACCGAGAGCATACCCACTCGGGATGGATCGATCCGGGACACTTTTCCTGTCCAAAAAGCACAATCTCGGAATGCACTTTCGGACGACATACGTGCCCAAAATGGGCAAACGGAATCCAATGTCACTACACTCCGGTGCAAGGGTAAGAACAAGCGTGTCACTTTCGCGGACGCCGTAACGGACCTGGAACGGCTCCGGCAGCTCCGAAAAAAACAGACCTTGCTATTAGCTAAGGAACTCTAACACGCGAAGAGAAAGTGGCCGGTGGTGAGGCAAGATTTATATATTTCTTGAGAGATTACCCATGTATGGTAAGATATTATTTTTCATTTACCCCTGTGCTATTTATATTCAACATCCCTGTGTTTTATACATAAAAGAGGACAGGGTTATACTACTCATCTAGTATTATCTATATCTGGGTAAATACCTAAGTATGTCGTTAAAGATGTGTGGTGAACAAAAGAAAAATCATCATGGGTAAGTCTTCTCTTATCTTCGACAACAAATCACGATAGTTACCACGTATTGTTTAGCTTGATTATTAACCGGACAGCATGCGAAGCATTATAGTAGTGTTCAACGGCTTGTTCGCTTGTTTCTCTGATTCATGCTAATTTCTTTCCAGAGAAAAATAGGACATATAGCGCTGTAACAAGTCAGAAAGGCGAATAGCATATCACTGCCATTTAATCAAGCTTCCATAATGCTGGGAAACTGGGGAACCGTCAAGTTTTCGACGCCAAACCATTCCTTCATGTCTTTGACGATAGCCATTAAGCTGTGGAGATATGACCGGCCTTCCCAGAACAACTGTTTAAGGACCGAATCGTAAGCTCCTTTTATTATCGAGTTTCTCGTAGCATTCCACTGCTTCTCGATGAGAACTCCAATTAGGTCAAAAATGAGTGTTAGAACCCACCGTAGCTCTGGCTCCAGGAATGTGATGCCCTGGGCCCAACAACACCACCAACGTGCCTCTATTAGTACCCTGTCGCATCTCCCGTCTCCTTCAATGGCATCAAGGGGCTTGAAATACGCTTTGATGCGGCGCTCATCCGCCACCGGCTGCACAGCAGGCCATCCTCTGTAGTCCGTATATCGGAACAGGAAGACTCCTCGACGGACACGGTGCCATTGTGCCGGCTGCACATCGAAAACAGCCGGGTTGTCGTACGGTATAAACTGCAAGAAGTCACACCGGCTTCCGTCGCGACGTCGTCGGATAGGAAAGTGTACAACTCTGCTAGCAGGGATCGTGGAAAGGTAGTTGTGTTGCTGTTCTGACGGAGATGTGACATCCTGCATGATGACATCGCCGTCTGCGTCTGTTACATAGGCGTCATACTCGTCGGACCCGGAATACTATTTGATATGACTTGAAGCCTTTATGCTATTTCTGGTTATATCGGTAGCCTGACGAACGTGCTTCCAGTTATTGGACTGTGACGTGTTGTGGTAGTTACGGGCGCGTTCGTTGAGATTGTCGAGTATCTCCTCTATGGTTAATGTTGGACGCTTGTTTCTATCTAAAGGCATTGTAACAGAACTAGCATTGATCGTAGTGCTATTCTCAAAGTCAAACAGGCGGTCGTAAACATCTCTACGGCTGAAAGTAGTCGCGGTTGCGATGGCTGGTATGTCACCAGGTCCGACGGTGGCGGTAATGTCAGACTCGGGATGCTTGGCGGCTTCTTTAGGGAACTTGAAGAAGAGCCAGGCGCACTCCCCGCAGGGTGGCTGGGGAAGACGCCGATGGGCCCTCACTGCGACGCAATGATAGACGTGGTGGATGGAGCAGTAGTAAAATGTGGCGCCAGGACTAGTGTCCTTGTCGTGGTCGAGCTTCATTGCTGAGCCGTTCAGCCGGACACGATGACACTCTGGCATGCGACAAGACATTTTCTATGGCGAGAAGGTTTTAACCCAGGTATCTCGTATGTTGGTATAGCGAATGTGACTCAATAAAGTAGATGTAATGTTTGATATAGTATGTGAAGTCTATGTGAAGTCTATGTGAAGTCTATGTGAAGTTAGTTTGGGATACGACTTGGGAGGGGGGAAATGATGTTACGTGAGGAGTAAAACAGGAGATAATGAAACCCAGGCAAGGGCCGGAAGAAGTATTGGCATTATGGAAAGTGGATTCGGGGTTTGTCACGCGATTGGGGCTGGTTTTTCGATTAAGTTTAAAGGATTTCTTGTAAGTTGGAAGGAAATGACATGTCGCCTGGTATGCTCATCATTGTCATTACAAGGGAAACGATGGGTGAAGTATGTACCTACCTACCTAGTAGCCTAGCAGTTTCCGGCTACTGGAGTAATACATACATAATCCTAGCTGATATTCAAGTAACACAGCTGAAGTAGAAAAGCCGTAGCAGGAAACCGGCGTGGTTTCTCTTTCCGGGTCGGGTACTGTCCTCCTAGTAAGATTGGGCATGGACGTAGGCGTGGGCGTAGGCGGTACGCTTTACGTTTCGACCGGTTTAGGGGGTTAAGGTTTTTGACCTTCTCTTTCCTGTTTCCTGTTTCCTGTTTTCTGTTTTCTGTTTTCTGTTTTCTGTTTCCTCTTTCCTACCCCATTGGCGCTTTCTTAAAAAGATACAACTTTTTAGTCATAGGAAGCCAAGGAAGTTTCAATGCTATTAACATTATGCTTTAGTTAGTTATAGTTACCTAGTTAATGTTATTAATCTTACTTGAATAAGCAATAACACCTGTATAAAAACGCCTGGGCCGCAATAGCTCGATAAGCTCTTAGGAGCATAACGAGTCCGTGCTGCCTCTTATCTTTTAGGCAAGCAGATTTCATTATCCTATTTCAACATTAAATAAGAATAAGATCTAAGCGGCCATTTTGTCTAAGAGGTGAATTACCCGACAATAGCTACTGGATAGAGCAAGTCCATCCTTCACCCTCGACGCACTACGGCCGCAATAGTTTAGGACGACGTTTTCCCTTCACATCCCCCACCACACGTTACTGATGTAGGGCATCTTAGAAGAGCTACACACTAAGACGAGCTTCGACAGGGAAGTATGGGTGACACAGGTAACGATGTGACCAATAACGTGAAGGTGGGAGAAAAGATGGCACCAGGGAGGGAAAGCGTGTTGAGCCCTAAACCCGGTCTATTGGAAAGTCAGGTACCGAGGGGAAAGCGCCCGCGTCTGCTGTGTAACGTCGGAACTTCCGAGTTCAGAAACCCGAGCCAAGATTGGATGCCGGAGCCTCATAAGTAACTGCATGTACTCTCGAACGGCTGTAGTCATCAGGCCGTCTTACATACTCGGTAGTTCGGTCATCCCCAGTGGATGTTGGTACCTGATGGCACTTCCCGACGCCTGTGCGTATATGTTACGAACATGCATCTCCACCTTTAAGGGAACCTACACCAGTAAAGCACCGCCTTCACTAGGGTGCTACCCCCTTGAGCCTCACCCAAGCCTCGCAGGGCTGATGGGGAGCTAGGACGAATAAGATCAAATCTACCTAAGCCACTCGCGTCTCAGATGGATTATCACCGACGAATCAGATATAATACCATAACCATACAATGCCGGACCTACTGCGGTACTCGGTCTAGTTCATTAATAGTTGCTATGATTCGCCAAAGCTTGCGAGTTTGTTAAAGCATTAATGTGCGAACTGACTCACGAGCATGGGGATAGATTTCACATCTTTAAATAGATACGTGAAGGCTACTCCTTCACGTCCTGGGTATTGCCGCTTTCTACATGCTCGTACACGTCTAACCGGCCGATCTCGAATCTATTGGGACGCCCCCTCCCCCTTTGTATCCCCAATAAAGAAGAAGAAGAAAAAAGAATAAGATAAAAATGTATCGAGTTTCATGCTCGCTATTCCTCGGAGAAGACACCGACTTTTCAAGCCAGCAAGCCAATGGCTATGAAATGACGTGTACTCCTGGAAATGCGCCTCCCCCCGACGACTGATTTTCTTTTCCGGGCAGACACTGGGTTTTAGTGAATTCGATAGCCTATGCGGTCGACTAGGGCAGGGTCAAGATTGATTCGTCATGATCGAAAGAGCATGCAGAGATAGGAATTGAGAAATGACATTGTGATAGTCGTTGCGCAGAGCAGAGCCCCGCCGTCAGCTCATGCCTAGATTTCTGAGTTAGTCGAAAACTTCCAAATATCACCTGACAACGGCAACTGACCTGAGGTTGTTCGATTCAGGAAACGTAAGTTCCGCAGTATGGACAGTCCCGTCCTGGCAAGACCCATACTTCCTGGCCCTTGCCCTGGCAGGTAGGGCAGCGTTTCCCGGGGGCCTTGTGGGATTGTCAGAGAGATGCTCTATTTTCATAAATGGGCAGCTGATACGTACAGTTCCGGACATATCAACCATGGGGCAAGCTTGGCTAAATACCGGGCGAGAGCAATAGTTAACCTGAGACGCCAGGTGCGAGCAGTGAATATGTGAGCAGGTCATCGTGTCGAGTCGTCTGAGTAGCAGGGATAAGATGTAGGGGGGGAGAAATCTATCAAAGGGGCGTTGAAAAAATATGGGAGTACTATTGGTGAGGAGAGCGACGAAACAAGCGTTGATAATAATGGATGGTGTGGTATGTCTGACCAAACTCGGAGTCCCTACGGCCGTACTTATACTTTTCTAGTTGGTCAACGCCGAAACATGGGCCGAGGGAGGTGTATCGTAGGGCTAAGGCAAGAGGGTCAATTCAAAAGGCCACGATTTGCCGCGTTGGGTGCGGCTGGCGTACTTAGTCCCTGCGTGAAAAGTAGGAGCCTGTATGTATCCGACGAAGAAGCACGGAATCATGTCGAGCGCGCAGCGGAAGGCTCGCGGCAGAGGGGGTGCCCCTTCGCTCTATTCGTCAGGGGCACGGATTCTAAGCCAATGTAATAATATTGCAAGTCAAGTTCTGAGCAATATCCCGGAAAAAAGCACCATTACGGTGACTGAGCCCGATGCGTCCAGCCATGCTTCGATAGGGAGCAAGACACGGCGACCTGAATTTCTGACAGGACACAACTCACACAAGTGGGGTTGATTTCGAGGGCAGAAAAGGGCAGAGAGGGCAGAGAGGGCGGAAACGTGGGACAGAATCAGGCCGTAGACTTCTTGGCGCTGAATGACATCTGTATCACTGCGGATATGGCGTCAGAAGACTCTATTGGGCTAATATTAAGAGGCAGATCGTGACAGTCAGTCTGTGTATGTTGTATGCGGGTGGTCTATGTACGTATAGTGAAGTGTGTGTGGGCCAGAACGTCTCGACGATACTTTTCAGGGTCAGACAGGGCAAGATAAAAAGCAAGAAAGCAGGGATGGCCTGTATTAAAAAAACCGCCTAGATACGATTGTCATTAAGACCGGGTTGGCGGATACTCGGGCCCGTCGGGGGATTTTATGAGATCTCGAGGTGGGGAGAAGAGACAAAGACTGAGAGGGAAATTCGATATATGTAGAAATAGAAATCCGAATCATGAGAGGGACTTTTGGGAATGGGGAACAGCAATTAGGAAGTATCGATTTTTTGTTACAAAAAAAAAGTTACCCATTTTCTTATGTACTACGTGATAGGCTTATGGTTTAATATGTACGTTTGTATATATGTGGATAATACGTAGGGGGGCATTTACAGGGTGGACATACGTGCGATACTTTATGCATGTATGTAGTACCTACACCTGCTTAACCCTTCCATGCACATGTATGCGCATGAGAATATGCACGTATGGTATGCATTAGATATGCGCAATACATGCATACTACGTACTTACATTCCATGACATTCAACTTTTAACCTCTTAGATGGATGAAAATCATCCCAGCATCCGGGTTTGCCAGGTTTCTCGATCCAAGCGCTCGGAACCCCCGCGTACAGAAAATATAAAGTTGCATGATGATGGGCAGATCAAAGTAAGGGAATAGGGAGAGAGGAATTCGGATATCGAAGAGGGGAGGCGAGGCAAGGCGAGGCACTTATATGTTAAGGTACCTATATGTAATTATCTAGCCTATTGCGTACAAAGGGGGGGGGGGGGGATACCCTTCTTAGTGCACTTCCCTGTGCGACATGAGAAACTTAGGGCTGTTACTGCGTTACTTCCCGAGTTGTTACTGCGTTTTCTCCGGGAAGGCACTTCTATTCTCTAACCTGTAGCTCCTCCTAAACTTCCCTTCCGTCTAGACGGGTGTTTCTCTTCATGCCTCTTACATATTCCGTATTTTGTTTAATACTTAATACTCACAGATGCCCGACCAAGTTCTCATCAACTAGTTTTTACTAGGAACAAGTTTTAATCGTTGGGCTTAGGAGTGGCAGGTGGAAGCATCACCACCCTAATTCCATCATTCTATCCACGCGCATCACGACGCACGTTTTCCCCCTTCGGCTCCTTGTCTTTCTTTGAATCAAAACTAGCGTAACATAAAAAGAAGCAAACGCCGATTCGTCGTCTACCCTGTCACTCTCCGGTACTACTGCTGCAGCATCCACGCGACGTTGCCGTTGTTGTATTATTTTGATATCATTTACCACCTCTCCTGGGTCCCTTTACAAGTCCAGAAGAGCTTGTCGTAACCCCTGGGCTTCTCCTGCCGCTAGCTTACAACCAACCAGATTCGACTCACGGGAACCAGATAAATCACTCCCCTGATGATTACTTTTATTATTATTATTATTTTATCTGTTTAGTTTTATTTTATTTTTTAAACAAGACTGCCATAAAAGCAATTGGGCTTTGTTCCTCGGGATCGTAATCCTTTTGTGGGGATTTAGTTGAGCTGTCTACAAGGCAGATCCTCATACGTGTTCGGCAAGGAGAGAGCAATACAAGACCAGAGGTTCAGGTTG